AACAAATTTTATTATAATGAAGGGCTATAGTGTTATACACCAACCTAGGAAGTAGTGACATATGAAATATTTCTCTTCATCCATGCAAACAGTCATTTTCATGCTTATTTCTAATAAAACTTTCCTTCCATGCAGTCAGTCCTTTATGACTTGCAAACTGGAGTAGGAAAGCTGACCCAGATAATATGAATTCTTGTGTCATTGAAAATAATCTGTTATATTTTGTATCCAATTTTGACTGGCTTAGTGTGAATTAGTATCACATCTTTGCATTAGGTAGTCAGTTCGTTCACTGATTCGGCTGGGTATTTTATGTTTTTTAGAGTACGTGTTTATCAGTTTTTACCAAGAGTATTTGATAACATCAAATGCTCATATTCAATTTTTATAACTATGTTCTTATTTCATTATGGACGCTGCAATTTTTTGTTGTTGCTTAATCAAAAGATATTTTTATGCAGAGCTGAAATGCTTGTGTGAAAAAAGCTTACAATCTTAGTGCAATTTATAGAGTGAGAGGCTGAGAGCATGACCTTTTTCCACATCTTTGTTCTTTTGGTATGATAAAGTTTGAGTTTTGTAATTGAGAACTACAAAATAGCTGCTCCAATGTTCTTCTCTTAAAAACATCAATTTGTGAAAATTTGTAAACTGGCCAGAGAACATTTATGAATGATAATGAATTAGTAAGAATGAGAAGTGTGGTTAAGAGTAATCTCGCCACTGAAATAGGTTTTATATACTATGTATAACATATGAAGGAATTTTAATGTATTAGTAAGAATGAAAAGTGTGGTTAAGAGTCATAACCAGTCCTTGAAGTGATTCTTTAGTCTCATCCAGTGAACCGATATCTTCAGAAGTCACCCCAATGTCCTTTGCAGAAATTACCTCAGACCTTACGTGCCTTTCATATTCATTGTCTGGGGGAACTTCCTGAGGTCATCACAGCTAAAATAAAGATGTGGTTTCTCGAGTAAAATGCTTAAACGAAATAAAGTTGAGTCAATACTACTACACTTACATATCTTATTCGGCAGAGTATTTAAACTTTGCCGAATTTTTTTGGTAAAATAACTGATTGGACGAGTATTTAAACTTTGCTGATTGTTTTTGGTAAAATTACCAACACGTGCGGACTGCTGAGCCGGCGGAGGTGCAGTGCTGGACCGCCTGGACTACTGGCGTGCTGCGGTGGCGTCTCCAGAGGCCTAGACGGAGGTCGGAGGTCGCCTTGGTCGACTGCTGCGGCCTGCGGATTGGTGACTGCCCTATTGTCTTTGAAGCAGGCTTCGTTCCTCTCGTTCCATCGACGCTGGCTCTAGTTTCTGGCTAGCTTTCTCTATTTTGGACTTGGGCTATTCCTATTTTGGTATAACTAAATTTGTTTTGTGGGCCTTTTCTTTTGTGAGGCCCTGTGCAATGGGACTGGTTCTCCCTCCCCTGGGCCGGCCCTGCTGGTCGTGGATATATATGGATTCGATCGTCTGGTATGGTTGCACTCTTTCGACTAGATGGCTGCTGGAGAAATGAAAAAGTTCGCACATTAAGTGAATGGAGTGTGTGGATATAAGCCCGTTCTATGTAGAGCTGTCAAACGGGCCAACCAGACCCAACCCAACCGTAACAGGTTATGCTTTATGTGGGCTGGGTCGGGCCAACCCGTTTAATGATGGGCCATGATTTTTACAACCCTAACCCAACCCACCTAACATGTGGGTTAAACGGGTTGACCCGCGGGTCAATGTAAGAAAATATAAAACGATTTTTTTTGAAAAAAATAATTACCCGGACGTATATATTTATATTAGCAAGTAGTAACAAAGGAAATATAAGAAATCAAAATACTAAAAATTCAATACTTGTTAAGTTTAATTAAAAATATTAAATACTAGTTATACGAGAATTTGAAAACTATAAGAGGCTATGCGACAAAAATACTCATTGTATAAGAATAAAGATTTACATAAAACTTTTAATTAATTATTTGCAAATAATGACTACTAATTGTTAAATATTGTATCGAACTTCACAAAAAATATATGTTTCAACATTTTATTTGAATATTTATTATAGAAATAAAAGAATAATACTTTTTAAATTGTAATTATAATAATATTGGTAGTAAAAGAACAATATTTTAGATAATAAAATTCAAAACTATATTTTTGTATTTTGGCCCGCGGGCCAACCCATAACTTGGTGGGCCAACCCACTTAAACCCGCAACTCGCGTGGGCTGACCCGCTAAACCCGCGAACTAAATGGGCCAAGAATTCTCAACCCTAACCCACCAATAAATGGGTTTAAACGGGTCAGCCCGCGGGTTTCGGCCGATTTTGACGGCCTAGTTCTATGGAGTGTTGGATATCAGAGCAGACCGAAGCGTTAAGCTTTAAGGGCATAAATGGGATTATGAAATGTGAGTGTCTGTTTAGTAAAAAGAGGGCTGCAAATAAAATTTCCCTCTGATAAATCAATAAATTGAGTCGGTTTTGCTCCCAATGACCGTATACGGGGTATTTGTTAATCACACGTGTTTTGTTACGAGTGTAGCTCGATTGATTGATACTTGATACTCCGTATATTATGTTGCAAAGACGACTTTGTTTAGTTTCTGCACATGTGTGCTTAGCAATCATTTTCAATAAGAGTTCAAATATCATAGCAGAACATGATCTATCAACCGGATTTTGGCAACACAGTCTAGGCATCTAAACAAAGTGTCTACCTCAATAACTTTTGCATTTTGAAATGTTAGTGTTTGTTATGAAATTGAAGGAGATAAACAGAAAATTAAGAGCATGTTATATTAATAATACTGTTAAGAGAGTAGTACATAGAAGTAGAAGACCCCTATTTATAGGAGAGAAGTTAAGCTCCTTTAGATTAGAGGATAATTGATTGTAGGAATTTTATCAATTTAGGATCCGAAAGATAAATTAATTATCAATTCAGTACCTGAAAGATGAAACGTATCGGTATATGACTCGAATGATGGAAAACTATCAATCTAGGACCTAACATTTCACAGGTTTTGATTTATTTAATTTTTTATTAATTCCATTACTAATTTTTGGTAAATTTTTCTTCACAAAAGTTTATTACTTTAATAAAACTAAATAATTTTTAAAAATTTTTAAATAGAAAAATTATAAAATTTATGACAACCTAGGTCATAGATTGATAGTTTTCAATCATTCAGGTCCTAAACCGACAGTTCTTCATTATTCAAGTCCTATATTGATACACTTCATCTTTCAGGTCCCGAATTGATAATTTGTCTATCTTTCGGGTCCTCAATTGATAAAATTCCTTGATTATATTTCAAGAGTCCTAACTATATTGGAGTCTATTAATTACTAGTTTGTTTTATTGAGAATTTAAAATTTTATGTGACTCTCAAATTGAAGAGGTATTTGTTCTATCTCATTGTTCCACTATGAAATAATATGATTAAGAAAATTAAAATCTATATTTTTATTCTCTTTGTCATATCAATTAGTAGTGACGCAAATATTTAACAAACTCTTAAAATTTTCAGGGGTGCCACACAAATTAAAAGCTCTTCCCTCTTTTTTTTTGGAAAGAAAAAACTTGTATTAAAACATGCAAGAGTAACTAAAAGGGACTTCCAAACTCTAACCGCTCAACCATTCCATGGCGGCGGCTCTGGAGGGGACAAATTAATATCACTTCACCTTCCTCCTCCAATTTCAAGACAAACTGATCGCAGGCTTGTCCAAGATCATCATACTCACCTTGCCTCAATTTCTCTGATGTAATTGTACCCACTAGCGTTAAACCTACGCTAATTATTTCTTAATTCATAGCATTCCCCAAGAGCACTTCATCTTCCTCTTCCAACTCCATGCTACCATAAGATTGAACCAATTTATCTATCTCCTTCTGCCCATAGGTTAGCCGGTTCCGTCTCCATGCTACCATAAGCTTGAACCAATTTATCTATCTACTTCTGCCCATAGGTTAGCCGGTTGTTCTCTGTTGGTGTCATCTATCTTAAGCACTGTTTGCAAGAGTTTTAAAAAAACACTTTTGAGCTTTTTGCTTAAAAAAGTTGAAGGTAGTGTTTTCAAATTCTTGCTTCTGCTTAAATTAATCACTACTTTAAGGTTAAAAGCTGGAAGCTGGGTGCTTCTAACTGCTTCTAGGTATTTTAGTAAATAATTGGAACTTTGGGGATAATTATTAGATCAAAAATTTCAAGAAAACCCAAAATGCCCCCGTCTTCTTTCTTCTCTACACGACACAAGTATTCTGTTTCTCCACACCAACATCTTCCCCCATTTACGCAAGGAAGCTCTACTAAAGAAATACTACCAGTACTCCGGCAAGAAGGGGGTGAAGGATTTGTCCAACCCCCAAAATTCCTTTAAAGAAATAGCACAACGCTGGTCTGAATTCCTAGACTTTCCATTCTTATATATTTTGGAGCCAAATCTGGAAAGAGAAAGAGGAGTCTATTGGGGTTGGCTTTTGAATTCTGTTTACGGGAAAATGGTCAAAAATGACATTAAGGTTTTTAATGAAGTTCGGATTGGACATTTAGGTTTTAAGTGGACCATATAAACACAAATTTAAACATTTTGGTTGCGTTTTAGCCACCCTTTAATAACTCCGTTAAATGGGTCTTCCCCTTCATTAACGCCCTTTCCTTCCCCTTTCCACGTTAAAACCTAGCTCACGTAGGTAGAGAACTAAAAGATTCAGAGAGGGACGGTAGATGCTTGCACTACAAAAACTAAAGGACACGTTTCATTTAAGAGAAAGAGAAACAAGAAACTTAAATTCGCCATCACATACAGAGGGGATTGATAGCGTTCTGTTTCCGGTAGAGGCCAGTCAGGCGGCAGTGTGTTTAAACCTCCCACTATTGCCTAAGAAGAGGGATGATGGAAGTGGCATGCAGTGTGTTTGGATCGTTGGGTTTCACCAGCTGTCTTTAAGATTAAGAAAATTCCAAAAACTTGAAGGATTGATACGCAATAATGTAGGAAATTGTATGGAACAGTGTGTTTTTCCAAGTCGTGCTTTCCGGCGGCATTTTTTGTTTTTGCTGGGAAAACAAACTAAATCAAAGAAACATTGCAAACACCTTGTTTTTAAACAAATGAAAATTCAATTATTTAAACAGACACGACAGACACAAAGGGAAGACAGACTTGGATGAAACACAACAAAGCTAAAGAAACTGTTTAGAAACCCCCACGGAGACGAAGGACAAGGTGCAGAGTGGACTCCTTCTGAATGTTATAGTCGGCCAAGGTCCTGCCATCTTCCAGTTGCTTACCGGCAAAGATCAACCTCTGCTGATCTGCTGGAATCCCCTCCTTGTCCTGAATCTTGGCCTTCACATTATCAATTGTGTCTGAGCTTAGCTTTCCACCTCCAGGGTAGTCGTCATCCTCAAGTTGCTTTCTCGCGAAAATGAGTCTCTGCGGGTCTGGAGGGATTCCTTCCTTGTCCTGGATCTTGGCCTTGACGTTGTCGATCGTGTCGGAGCTCTCGACTTTGAGAGTGATCGTCTTGCCGGTTAGGGTTTTCACGAAGATCTGCATCTTTAGAGAATAGGAATTGAAATCTGATATTTGCAAAAGAAGATGAGAGATTATAGAAGTATAGAACCAGATAACGGAGCAAATAACGGTGAGTTAAAGGGTGGCTCAAATGGAACCAAAAAGTTTAAATTTGGGTTTATTTGGTCCACTTAAAACCTAAGTGTCCGATCCGAACTTCATCAAAAACTTTAATGTCATTTTTGGTCATTTTCCCTTCTGTTTACAGTCGGCTGAAGGATGGCCAAATAATGGGCGGACGTCAACTTTCAATTCCTTCTTCCTTTAATTTTTTATTTGAAGTTAATTGAATTCTCTATTTATTTGAGAAGGGTATCTTTGTATTTTAACTGTATATTACATCAATAATCATTTTTTATCAAAACATTTCAACTTTTACCTTTTAATAAAAATCACTTCTGTTTGCAAACACTACTCACTTTTACTATTAATCACTTTTTCAATAATCTTTAAAAAAATCATTTTTAAAAAGCACAAGGAATCGCAAACACTTCCTTATTATATTAGGCACGTTTTATTATTTTTGTTAAAACAATATTTTGTATTTAAGTAGTTTATCTCCTACTACAATTCCTCTCCTTGATTTACGTAGCATAGCCGACTGATTGTACATTAACGATGAACAAGGAATAAAATTCAGCCTTATTCTTTCTTAATTCCTCTATCACGTATTCATATAAACTTGTCACCCTTTATAAATTTCGGAAATTGTCCTAAATAGGACTAATGAGTTCCTAAAAAGTACAAATAAGACTACTACTTTTTAAATTCCCTAAATAGGACTAAACATAGATTTTCTACCCTAAATACCCCTAAGAGTATTAATTGAAAGAATGACACGGATAAGACCATTGGCTTCTCCTTGGACAGAAATAGGATTAATATCTAACCTAGACAAAGGTTATTTCAGTACTTAACAGTAAAATGGCATCTTTTTTCTGGGGGTCGTCCAACAATAAAAACAAATATCACTGGATAAGCTGGCCTAAGTTGTGTTGCCCTACTTTGGAAGGAGGCCTGGGCATAAGGTCATTATATGATATTGAGAAAGCTTTCTCATTAAAGCTCTGGTGGAAATTAAAAACTGGTGACTCTTTGTGGACTCAGTTTATTAAAGACAGATACAATAGAGGAGAGAACATGATACCCAAGGTGACTGACTCAGCAGTGTGGAGGAGAATTTGTTCTATTGACCAGCAAGCATCCATTCTTTGTTCTCTTAATCCTTCTGGTCATTTAATCTGGGATGAAGAAGCAGATGGTTTGTTTTCCTTCAAATCTGCTTATGAAGCTGTCAGGGATCACAAAGTCAGTTCAGAGTTGTACAAGAATATTTGGGAATCCAAACAGGAACTGAAAATTAAGATCTTTCAATGGAAAATTGTAAAAGGTATCATCCCTATTACGGACAAGCTTGGAAGATTTAAGCAGGTATTAAACCCTTCTATGTGCCCTCTTTGTAGAAGACAAAATGACTCCTTGATTCATCTTTTCTTTCAATGTAATGTGGTGGAAGGTGTGTGGAGATATTTTTGGGGAATCCTGGGGCTGTATATGCCTCTTAACTCTGATTTAAATATTTCTAGAGTCCTAAGAATGAAGAACGGAGGTCATAGTCTTCTGAATATTTTAGACAGAACATATCTGGTATATTACTTTGGTTTATTTGGAAAGTATACTCTTCTATTATTTGGGGTAATGAAGATTCATCTCCTTCCACAGATCAGATTATTTTTCAAATCAAAATGTACACTCAATCATGGGCGGTTAGCTTATCAGGTCTCAAAATACGCCAGATTGGTGACATTCTCTTTGAAGAAAAACTGATTCCAAGATATTACAAGCCTAATATCACACGGCCTCAAATTATTAAGTGGAGAAAACCGAAGCAAAGATGGAAGCTAAACATTGACGCGAGTTACTTATCTGATTTAGCGTCTGGGGGTGCGATCCTTAGGAGCTCTTCAGGTCAGATGATTCAGGCTATCTCCTTCCCTCTTGAAGCTGATTCAGCTTTGGACGCAGAAATTAAAGCCCTGTGTTTTGTGGTAAGATGGGTGGAGGATGAAGGATATGAAGATGTGGAGGTGGAGACCGATTCCCTCATGCTGCTGGAGTATTTTTCACGCAAGGATTGTCGGAGATGGAAAATTCTGATTCAGGAAACCTCAGAGATTATGAATAGGAAACGGATCAGTATTTTACATACTCTCAGGGAGGGGAATTGGGTTGCGCATTTTTTAGCGGTGGGCCGAGCTCTAAGGGTGATTAAATTTGATGATCCAAATGTTTTACCTATCCAGGCTAAAAGGGCCTATTGGATGGATTATTTTGGGACCCCTTCTCTCAGATTTTAATTTCTTTCTGTTTTTTTTTCTTCTTCAGTCTGTTTTTACTTGTTTCAGATTAGGTCAGGTTTGGCCCCCTTAATCTGAGTTTTACTTCTTTTGTACCATCCCTATTATTAATAAAATACTGGTAAATGCTCCCCGGCATTTACCACACTGATTTTGGTGGTTGACCTTCCGGGGTAAAAAAAAAAAAAAAAAAAAAAATCTAACCTAGACAAAAAAGAGACTATTTATTTATGAACTGGCAAATATACCCCCACATAATCTCAAAACAAAACACCAATCTTCCCTTCCCGTCTACATCTTTCGATCTGCTTAGGCACCTTCCAAACCAGGGAGTCGCCGACATGGATCGCCGATCTAGGCATGGAATCGCCGATCTAGGCATGGAATCGCCGCCACCATAGACATGGAGTCACCGTTGCCCTATCCATGGATTCTCCGTCTCCCTAGCCATGGAATCTCCTCCGGCTCCCAAGACATGGCACCGCCTCTGCCTCCCGAGCCATGACTCCGCCGCCTCGTATCCGCTGAGGCCATAAGCACCCCCGATGATCCTCTTCACCGCAGGTTCCACAGATCTCACCGCTTTCATCGTTTTCTTCTCCACTTCTTCTACTCGATAGTTCCCCATCCTTCTCTTCAGATCGATGGCAGATCTCATTTTCTAATGTTAAAATTGAAGGGTGGGGGAAGCAGTTCGTGAGCTGATGAGGGCAGCGATGGTGGAAAGGGTTGGGGACGGCAGGTGTCTAGGGGAGAAGGTTAGGGTGGGAAAGTTGGGGTAGTGGTGGCAATCGGAGGGGGTGTGGCAGCCGATTATACAAGGTCAGGTTAGGGTGGGGAAAGTTGGAGTGGTGGTGGCAATCGGAGGGGGTGTGGCAGCCGGTTGTACAGGGTGAGGGGAGGGGGCTGGATCGAGGCTAAAGTGGTGGCAGGGCAGGGGGCTGGCCCCCTGGGTGGAGGACTGGTCCTTGACGGCAGCGTGGACTTGTCACTAGTGGTAGCGGAGATGGGTCACTAGCGGCGGTGGAGGACTGGTCCCTGACGGCGGCGTGGACTTGTCACTGGCCGTACTGGTCACTTGCGCGTCGTGGACCACTCGCTGGTGTCGGTGCGAATAGGTCACGGGTGGGGCAAGGGGCCGGTCACTGGCGGGGATAGGTACTGGTCACTGGTGGCGGGGGTATGTACTGGTCAGTGGCGGCGGAGGGGGACTTGTCACTGGTGGCTGGGGTAGGTATTGTTCACTAGCGGCGGAGGGGGACTGGTCACTGGTGGCGGGGGTAGGAACTGGTCAGTGACGGGGGCAGCGGGGTACTCGTCTCTTGCGGTGGTAGCGGGGAAATGGTCATCAGCGGCGACATCTGGTTACTCGTCAGTGACTCACTGATGGATTAAGGGTGACGAACTTTGTAACTATGTCACTGGTCACTGTGACATTGGTCACTGTTGTAATTGGTAAAATTGAATAAATAAAAGTAGTTGAGTTAATAACTGTAACTGGTTAGTTCACGTAATTGTAACTAGATGTGCGGACATTGGTCACTGGATAGACGGATGTAGGTCGTTAAACGGGTGAAAGTCACCATGTTATTTGACATAAATTTTGGTAACTAATGATTTTTGGTCACTGGTGAATTTTGGATGTTTGGTCACTAAAAATTTTTTGTCACTGGTGAATTTTGGATGTTTGGTCACTTATAATTTTTGGTCACTGGTGAATTTCGGATGTTTGGTCACTAATGATTTTTGGTCACTGAGGAATTTTGGATGTTTGGTCACTAATTATTTTTGGTCACTCGATGAATTTTGTAACTATGTCATTGGTAACTGTAACATTGGTCATTGCACATTTGGTCACTGTGACGGATTACTGTAGCAGGCCAAAAGAGTTTTTTACCAAAGAGGTGTATTTTTGAATCTTATTTCCCAAATTAAGGTACTTCTAAACTTATTTCCCAAAATAAGGTGTTTTTTGCCATGTCATCTCATTATTATCGTGAGTAGCCACCTCATCTAATTCCACATCACCTAGGGGTGGGTTCGGTTCTTGCGGTTCGGTTTTGACCTAAAACCAAATATAGAATCAAAGTAAAAAGTTCGGTTCGGTTTCGGTTCGGTTTTACACTACAAAACTTGGAACCACGGTTTGATTGGTTCGGTTTGTTTCGGTTCGGTTTCGGTTTTTTCGGTTTTTTACCAAAAAATTATCACTTGATTCAAAATTGATATAATACTTAGAGGGATCAAACATATTACATAAAGAATGCAAGCACAATACAACGACAAATAAAATAAAAATGAGAAGAGATAAATATGTCTTGAATTATATGAGTATGCGAGATAGATAAAACTGTATATATTATAGATTTAATTAGTTTGTGAGTAGTTCGAAAAAAGTTCATGAATATATACATTATATACTTCTATGTGATATAGTTGAGATGAATATTTATTGTTTTATCAATATAAAATCTTTAAGTTATCTAAAAAGAGTTAATTACTACTAATAACTAGTAAACACATATTATCATCATTCAATATAGCTACATTATTACAGACAATGAATGTGTAAATGAATTTATAAACTAAATTAAATTAAACATAACACAAACATTATTTCTCTAACACAAGAAACCCAAAGACTATTGATGATATTAAGATTAATTAGAATTAATGCTTCACAATTAAATTATAAATTTCATATTTTAAATAGTTCGGTTTGTTCGGTTCGGTTCGGTTTTGAAGGGTAAAAACCAAAACCGAACCAAACAACTTCGGTTCGGTTCGGTTTTTTACATTCGGTTTCGGTTTCTTAGCGGTTCGGTTTTATTTGGTTGCGGTTCGATTTAATTTGATTCGGTTTTCGGTTTTCGGTTTTTCGGACCCAGCCCTAACATCACCTACTAATTCCAGGTCATCCGATTTTAAGTGTTTTAAAGGTGTTTCAAAAATCTATAAAAAATTCAAGACATGCGAATCGAACCCACATCCTTCCGGTGGAAGCCAAATTTCTTGCCTCAGATAACCCACTAGACTACACCAATCAATTGATATGCTATCTCTTTTTAAAATTATTAGAGCATGCATGGTATATTCTTAAGTCCCATAACACTACCTATGAGTGTAGACGTGTAGTGCGAGTATTCCTGCTCGCTCCTTTAGAAGTATTTTACTTCTTTTCCAAACGATTAAAAAAAAAGTAATTAGAGATGTTCAATTAAAAAGTAAACACATAATTAAAATATATATTAAAAAAACTTAAATTGTGATATTTAATTAATTAATAAAAAATTAATACAAACTTATAATGATAAAACATAATTTGCAATATATAACTAAACAATTAAGAATATACATCATTTTAAGAATATAAATAGTGCTCTCCCAGACTTAACAATCTACAGTGTTTTATTTTTAATTAAACATCACAAATTAAGTTTATTATTATACGTTTTATTTATGTTTTTATTTTTAAACAGAATTTCTCAAATTAAGTTTTTTATTATATTTTTAATTGTTTGAGAAAAAAGTAATATACTTCCAAAGGAACAAATAATACACGATTAAGATATAGTGTTCTCTGGGACTTAAGAATATACATCATATTATTTAATTATCTTAATAACCAATGACGTGACAATTGATCATTGATGAGTGTAGTGATTCCTCTGCACTACAAAAAATTAGGGGTGGGCGTGGTCCGGAACGGTCCGGGAAATTAGTAAAACTCGTAATATATCCATGAGGTTTCTAACGGTCCAATACGGTCCGGTTTTAAAGATAGAACCATTCAGTACCATGTCGTTTCGGAACGGTACAAAATGGTACGGTACAATGCCAAACACATGCTAAAAAAATTGAACAAATCTTGCAATTAGTAGATATATCATAACACCAACCAACTCACATGAAATTTCGATATAAATACAAGAAATTGCATATGTAGTGCTAATATTCACAAAAACACAAATAGTGCAACCTAACTAAGAAAAAGTATAGCAAACGATGATACATGAGATAAATATCATCTTAAATTTACTAAGTTCATGTCAAAATATAAAAAGAATATAATAAAATACTTCTACATGATAAAAAGAACCTAAAAAGAACTAGTGAGTTAGTGAGTGTATTATTCAATGATCTTAAAAGGCGTTATTAGATCATCTACTTAGTGTAGCCTAGCGGGTCGTATGTAGCAAGATTCTTAGTAAATCATCGGCAGGATGTGAGTTCGATTCCCATTCCTTTATTTTTTTTTAATTTAGAAACACCTTAAAACTCTTAAAATTGGATGACATGGAGTTAGTAGATGATGTGGAAAAGCTGATGTGGCTACTCACGGTAATAATGAGGTGACATGGCAAAAAACACCCTACTTTGGGAAATAAGTTTAGAAGTACCCTAGTTTGGGCTTAGTAAGGGTGTAATAGTCCCTTAATTATTATTTAGTCTTATTTTTGTAACTTAAAAGAAAAGTCTCTTTTTTTGTCCAAATGCTTTTAATTAGTATTATTTGAGGACAAACCCCGTATTAATTCATAATGAAATGCTTTAATTCATAATAAAATCATAAAAAAACGTAAAAAATATTTAAAAAACGTAAAAAAATTATAAAAAATTTATAAAACATTTATAAAATAAAAAATTTAATTTTTATTTTTTTAATTTTTTTTTTAAAAAATAATAAAAAATAGTAAAAACCCATAAAAAAATGAAAACAATTATGGATACATTTCCCACCGCCATCCGCTGCCTCCCAGCACCACCACCTCCGATTGGTGAAATTTCTTCCACTTTTGGTAAAAAAATGCCATCTTTTTCTGAAAATGCCAAAAGATGGCATAATTACTCTTCAATATGCCAACATTTTCATTGAATATGCCATCATTATGGCATTATTTAAAATGTTGGCATATTTTTCTCCGGTGATGGGAGCTGGTGGTGCTGGGGGTGGCAGGGGTGGTAATGTTTTTTTTTTTAATTTTACGATTTTTTTTTTATTTTTTTTTTAAAAATATTTTTTTTTAAATTTTTTTAAAAAATATTTTTATTAATTTTCTATTATCTTTTTACGATTTTTAGTATGTTTTTTTATTTTTATTATTTTTGTATGATTTTATTATTAATTAAAACATTTCACAAGTTACAAGGGTATATTTGGCCAAACACAC